TTTTTTTTTTTTTTTTTTTTTTTTTTTTTTTTTTTTTTTTTTTTTTTTTTTTTGTTTTTTTTTTTTTTGTTTTTTTTTTTTTTTTTTTTTTTTTTTGTTTTTTTTTTTTTTTTTGTTTTTTTTTTTTTTTTTTTTTTTTTTTTTTTTTTTGTTTTTTTTTTTTTTTTTTTTTTTTTTTTTTTTTTTTTTTTTTTTTTTTTGTTTTTTTTTTTTTTTTTTTTTTTTTTTTTTTTTTTTTTTTTTTTTTTTTTTTTTTTTTTTTTTTTTTTTTTTTTTTTTTTTTTTTTTTTTTTTTTTTTTTTTTTTTTTTTTTTTTTTTTTTTTTTTTTTTTTGTTTTTTTTTTTTTTTTTTTTTTTTTTTTTTGTTTTTTTTTTTTTTTTTTTTTTTTTTTTTTTTTTTTTTTTTTTTTTTTTTTTTTTTTTTTTTTTTGTTTTTTTTTTTTTTTTTTTTTTTTTTTTTTTTTTTTTTTTTTTTTTTTTTTTTTTTTTTTTTTTTTTTTTTTTTTTTTTTTTTTTTTTTTTTTTTTTTTTTTTTTTTTTTTTTTTTTTTTTTTTTTTTTTTTTTTTTTTTTTTTTTTGTTTTTTTTTTTTTTTTTTTTTTTTTTTTTTTTTTTTTTTTTTTTTTTTTTTTTTTTTTTTTTTTTTTTTTTTTTTTTTTTTTTTTTTTTTTTTTTTTTTTTTTTTTTTTTGTTTTTTTTTTTTTTTTTTTTTGTTTTTTTTTTTTTTTTTTTTTTTTTTGTTTTTTTTTTTTTTTTTTTTTTTTTTTTTTTTTTTTTTTTTTTTTTTTTTGTTTTTTTTTTTTTTTTTTTTTTTTTTTTTTTTTTTTTTTTTTTTTTTGTTTTTTTTTTTTTTTTTTTTTTTTTTGTTTTTTTTTTTTTTTTTTTTTTTTTTTTTTTTTTTTTTTTTTTTTTTTTTTTTTTTTTTTTTTTTTTTTTTTTTTTTTTTTTCTTTTTTTTTTTTTTTGTTTTTTTTTTTTTTTTTTTTTTTTTTTTTGTTTTTTTTTTTTTTTTTGTTTTTTTTTTTTTTTTTTTTTTTTTTTTTTTTTTTTTTTTTTTTTTTTTTTTTTTTTTTTTTTTTTTTTTTTTTTTTTTTTTTTTTTTTTTTTTTTTTTTTTTTTTTTTTTGTTTTTTTTTTTTTTTTTTTTTTTTTTTTTTTTTTTTTTTTTTTTTTTTTTTTTTTTTTTTTTTTTTTTTTTTTTTTTTTTTTTTTTTTTGTTTTTTTTTTTTTTTTTTTTTTTTTTTTTTTTTTTTTTTTTTTTTTTTTTTTTTTTTTGTTTTTTTTTTTTTTTTTTTTTTTTTTTTTTTTTGTTTTTTTTTTTTTTTTTTTTTTTTTTTTTTTTTTTTTTTTTTTTTTTTTTTTTTTTTTTTTTTTTTTTTTTTTTTTTTTTTTTTTTTTTTTTTTTTTTTTTTTTTTTTTTTTTTTTTTTTTTTTTTTTTTTTTTTTTTTTTTTTTTTTTTTTTTTTTTTTTTTTTTTTTTTTTTTTTTTTTTTTTTTTTTTGTTTTTTTTTTTTTTTTTTTTTTTTTTTTTTTTTTTTTTTTTTGTTTTTTTTTTTTTTTTTTTTTTTTTTTTTTTTTTATTTTTTTTTTTTTTTTTTTTTTTTTTTTTTTTTTTTTTTTTTTTTTTTTTTTTTTTTTTTTTTTTTTTTTTTTTTTTTTTTTTTTTTTTTTTTTTTTTTTTTTTTTTTTTTTTTTTTTTTTTTTTTTTTTTTTTTTTTTTTTTTTTTTTTTTTTTTTTTTTTTTTTTTTTTTTTTTTTTTTTTTTTTTTTTTTTTTTTTTTTTTTTTTTTTTTTTTTTTTTTTTTTTTTTTTTTTTTTTTTTTTTTTTTTTTTTTTTTTTTTTTTTTTTTTTTTTTTTTTTTTTTTTTTTTTTTTTTTTTTTTTTTTTTTTTTTTTTTTTTTTTTTTTTTTTTTTTTTTTTTTTTTTTTTTTTTTTTTTTTTTTTTTTTTTTTTTTTTTTTTTTTTTTTATTTTTTTTTTTTTTTTTTTTTTTTTTTTTTTTTTTTTTTTTTTTTTTTTTTTTTTTTTTTTTTTTTTTTTTTTTTTTTTTTTTTTTTTTTTTTTTTTTTTTTTTTTTTTTTTTTTTTTTTTTTTTTTTTTTTTTTTTTTTTTTTTTTTTTTTTTTTTTTTTTTTTTTTTTTTTTTTTTTTTTTTTTTTTTTTTTGTTTTTTTTTTTTTTTTTTTTTTTTTTTTTTTTTTTTTGTTTTTTTTTTTTTTTTTTTTTTTTTTTTTTTTTTTTTTTTTTTTTTTTTTTTTTTTTTTTTTTTTTTTTTTTTTTTTTTTTTTTTTTTTGTTTTTTTTTTTTTTTTTTTTTTTTTTTTTTTTTTTTTTTTTTTTTTTTGTTTTTTTTTTTTTTTTTTTTTTTTTTTTTTTTTTTTTTTTTTTTTTTTTTTTTTTTTTTTTTTTTTTTTTTTTTTTTTTTTTTTTTTTTTTTTTTTTTTTTTTTTTTTTTTTTTTTCTTTTTTTTTTTTTTTTTTTTTTTTTTTTTTTTTTTTTTTTTTTTTTTTTTTTTTTTTTTTTTTTTTTTTTTTTTTTTTTTTTTTTTTTTTTTTTTTTTTGTTTTTTTTTTTTTTTTTTTTTTTTTTTTTTTTTTTTTTTTTTTTTTTTTTTTTTTTTTTTTTTTTTTTTTTTTTTTTTTTTTTTTTTTTTTTTTTGTTTTTTTTTTTTTTTTTTTTTTTTTTTTTTTTTTTTTCTTTTTTTTTTTTTTTTTTTTTTTTTTTTTTTTTTTTTTTTTTTTTTTTTGTTTTTTTTTTTTTTTTTTTTTTTTTTTTTTTTTTTTTTTTTTTTTTTTTTTTTTTTTTTTTTTTTTTTTTTGTTTTTTTTTTTTTTTTTTTTTTTTTTTTTTTTTTTTTTTTGTTTTTTTTTTTTTTTTTTTTTTTTTTTTTTTTTTTTTTTTTTTTTTTTTTTTTTTTTTTTTTTTTTTTTTTTTTTTTTTTTTTTTTTTTTTGTTTTTTTTTTTTTTTTTTTTTTTTTTTTTTTTTTTTTTTTTTTTTTTTTTTTTTTTTTTTTTTTTTTTTTTTTTTGTTTTTTTTTTTTTTTTTTTTTTTTTTTTTTTTTTTTTTTTTTTTTTTTTTTTTTTTTTTTTTTTTTTTTTTTTTTTTTTTTGTTTCCTATTTGCTGTCTGTGTAACAAGGACTGGAATTCAGGGGTGGTAGGAACTGACACAGCACTTACTATGGAAGACCTCAGTGTTTTACTCTGACCACCCTGAGCTATGGCCTCAGGGGTGACAGGCTGGTCTGTGGGGATAAGAGGCTCAAGATTAGAGGCTGCTGGTTCAACTGGTTTGGAAGTCTTGACAGAGGACCTATTTACCTTTCCTCTAGTGGCTCTAGATGTGGGCTTAGGGGTGACAGGCTGGTCTATAGAGGTTGTAGGAAGGGGCTCAGGGGCTGTGGGGATAACTGGTTCAGGGGTCCTGACAGAGGACCTATTCGTCCTGCCCCTAGTGGCCCTAGATGTGGGCTCAGGGGTGACAGGCTGGTCTGTGGAGGTGGAAGGCTGGAGCTCAGGGGCTATAGGGACAGCTGATTCAGGGGTCTTGACAGAGGACCTATTTGTCCTGCCCCTAGTGGTCCGAGATGCAGGCTCAGGGGTGACAGGCTGATCTGTGGAGGTGGAAACCTGGAGCTCAGGGGCTGTGGGTACAGATTTAAGGGTTTTAACAGAGGACCTATTTGTCCTGCCCCTAGTGGTCTGAGATGTGGGCTCAGGGGTGACAGGCTGGTCTGTGGAGGTGGAAGGCTGGAGCTCAGGGGCTGTGGGTACAACTGATTCAGGGGTCTTGACAGAGGACCTGTTTGTCCTGCCCCTACTGGTTTGAGATGGGGGCTCAGGGGTGACAGGCTGGTCTGTGGAGGTGGAAGGCTGGAGCTCAGGGGCTGTGGGTACAACTGATTCAGGGGTCTTGACAGAGGACCTGTTTGTCCTGCCCCTACTGGTTCGAGATGGGGGCTCAGGGGTGACAGGCTGGTCTGTGGAGGCAGAAGCCTGGAGCTCAGAGGCTATGGGGACAACTGTTTCAGGGGTCTTGACAGAGGACCTATTTTTTCTTCCCCTAGTGGCCTGAGATGTGGGCTCAGGGGTGACAGGTTGGTCTGTGGACGCGGAGGCCTGGAGCTCAGAGGCTATGGGGACAACTGTTCCAGGGGTCTTGACAGAGGACCTATTTTTTCTTCCCCTAGTGGCCTGAGATGTGGGCTCAGGGGTGATAGGCTGGTCTGTGGACACAGAGGCCTGGAGCTCAGAGGCTATGGGGACAACTGTTTCAGGGGTCTTGACAGAGGACCTATTTTTTCTTACCCTAGTGGCCTGAGATGTGGGCTCAGGGGTGATAGGCTGGTCTGTGGACACAGAGGCCTGGAGCTCAGAGGCTATGGGGAGAACTGTTTCAGGGGTCTTGACAGAGGACCTATTTTTTCTTCCCCTAGTAGCCGGAGATGTGGGCTCAGGAGTGACAGGATGGTCTGTGGAGGTGGAAGCCTGGAGCTCTGGGGCTGTGGGGATAACTCGTTCAGGGTTCTTGACAGAGGATCTATTTTTTCTTCCTCTAGTAGCCCGAGATGTAGGCTCAGGGGTGACAAGCTGGTCTGTGGAGATGGAAGGTTGGAGCTCAGGGGCTACAGGGACAGTTGATTCAGGGGTCTTGACAGAGGTCCTATTTGTCCTGCCCCTAGTGGCCCGAGATGTAGGCTCAGGGGTGACAGGCTGGTCTGTGGAGGTAGAAGGTGGGAGCTCAGGGGCTACAGGGACAGTTGATTCAGGGGTCTTGACAGAGGACCTATTTGTCCTGCCCCTAGTGGCCCAGGATGTAGGCTCAGGGGTGACAGGCTGATCTGTGGAAGTGGAAGGCTGGAGCTCAGGGGCTGTGGGGACAACTGTTTCAGGGGTCTTGACAGAGGACCTATTTGTCTTGCCCCTAGTGGCCTGAGATGTGGGCTTGGGAGTGACAGGCTGGTCTGTGGAGGTGGAAGGGTGGGGCTCAGGGGCTGTGGGGACAATTGTTTCAGGGTTCTTGACAGAGAATCTATTTTTTCTTCCCCTAGTAGCCTGAAATATGGGCTCAGGTGTGACAGGCTGATCTGTGGAAGTGGAAGGCTGGAGCTCAGGGGCTGTGGGGACAACTGTTTCAGGGGTCTTGACAGAGGACCTATTTGTCTGGCCCCTAGTGGCCTGAGATGTGGGCTTGGGAGTGTCTGGCTGGGCTGTGGAGGTGGAAGGGTGGGGCTCAAGGGCAGCAGAGGTAGCTGGAAAGGGTGTTATCCTGGAGGACTTCCGAGTTATGATTTTAGGCTTTGGATGAAAAGGCTCCAGCTCTGAGGACAAGGGAGTCTCTGGAGCTTCCTGATTACCATTTTGCCTGGTCTTAGGAATGGTTAGCTCGACAGAAGGTGGAAAGGGAGAAAGAAGGGGCTGAGGTGCAAGACGTTTCTGGCTCTGAGAGTTAAGGGGCTTCAGGGGTGGGGCTGACGTTTCAGGCACTGTAGGAGGTAGACAAGCATCTGGAGATTCCTGTTCACCCTAGGGAGAAACAGAAGCAAGTGAGGGGAAGGAAGTGGAGAAAAGAGATACAGCTTGGATCCTGTTCTTGATAACTTGTTTATGGTCAGATATGCTCACTGGATTTTGGCTGGGCATGGTGGCTCACGCCTGTAATCCCAGCACTCTGGGAGGCTGCAGAGGCAGGTGGATCACCTGAGGTTAGGAGTTAAGAGACCAGCCTGGCCAAGATCCCACCACTGCATTCCAGCCTGAGTGACAGAGTGAGACTGTCTCAAAAAAAAAAAAAAAAAAAAAAAAAAAAAAAAAAAAAAGGTATGCTCACTGGATTTCTCTTCTATGATTTCTCTTCCATTAGACTGGGAACTACCTGGGAAGCTACCTTTTACCCATGGACCTGTCTCCATAATGCTACTATAGTGTTCTCCACACATGGAGGATGGTAATGAAGAGGATGGCTGGGGCAAAGAAAGAAGAAACATGAAAAAAGGGTCTTTCTTTTGAGTCATGTAGAAGATACAACTTGGGAAACAGATATGGAAAACAATGAGTGCCAAAGATAAAAGGAATAGAAGCCATTCAAGGAGTGATGAAAATGGAAGAAAACTGAGTAATAAGAAAGGAATAGATTAAAGTGAGGCTAGATGAGGGAGCATTGAGAGGATATAGAGAAGACTTGCAGAGTAGGAGGAGGTAGAAAAAGCAGCTCTCACCCTGGAAGCTTTCTTAGCAGCTCTGATCCTGGAAGCCTTCTCAGCAGGTGGCATCTTACAATTCAGGCCTAGACAGAAAGTAAACACAAAGGTGGCTGAGTTACAAGCAGCTGGTTGCTCAGGGTTTATCATGAAGCCCCTGTACCATCTTGGGTTCCTGTCTGCCTTAACTTACCTTTCTGATGCCTCCTGGGGCTCACTGGGGATCCCCTTCCACCTGACTGGCTCCCAGAAGGTATGGGGGCTGAGACAGATTCTGGAAACTCCCTTGCCCCCACCCCAGGCTCCAGTGTTGGGCTGGAGGCCTGCCGTTTCTGGTCCTGGCTCCTTCCCTCTGGCTCCCTTCTCTGTGTGCCTCTCTCCAGGATCACTTTGGGCACCTTCCCTTCTAACTCAGCTGGCTCACACTCTCTGTCTGCTACTGGTCTCTCTACTTCTCTCTCAATTGTTTTGCTTGGAAGGGTCTGCTTCTCTACTTCTTTCTCCTGTATTTCCTCAGATATCTCAATTTCTACCTTCAAACTCTCCCTATCTCTTTTAGGACTTGCACTTTCCTCCTTTTTGCCAGATTCTTGTCTCTGACTGTCTCTAGCTAACAACTGTTTTTGTTCTCTGTCCTGTATCCCCCTGGTTAATTCTTCCTCTCCTGTCACATCTGTCTGTCTTTCTGGCAGCAGTTTCTCAGTTTCCCTCTCCAATGGCGCTCTCTCAGGGGCCATCCTTTCTTTTGGTATACCCATATCTTTATCCACAGTCTGCATCTCTCTGCCTTGAATCCCCATTGGCTCTGTGTGGACTGGGCTCTCTGGATGTTGGTCTCCTGGTATTGCCCTAGGTGGAGACAGGCAAGATCCACAGGCCTCAAGGTGGGTGTCAAAAGGCTGGGTCTCAGAGTCCTTGGACTCTCTCAGACAGAATGGCTGTGTAGCCAGGACCTCCCATGGTTCATCTAGGCTACCTGGAAGTAAAGAGAGAGAGAAAAAGAAAGAGAGAGAGAAGGAGGAGAGGAGAAGGGAAAGAGAGGTACAGGTTGAAATAATAAATATATTGAGAAAGCATTAAGATAAACTCATGAATAATAAATCTAAACAGGTTATTAAAGCAAAGCTGGAGGCTGGGCGCAGTGCCGAGGCGGGTGGATCACGAGGTCGAGAGAGCGAGACCATCCTGGTCAACATGGTGAAACCCTGTCTCTACTAAAAATACAAAAAATCAGCTGGGCATGGTGGCGCATCCCTGTAATCCCAGTTACTCAGGAGGCTGAGGCAGGAGAATTGCTTGAACGCAGGAGGCAGAGGTTGCGGTGAGCCGAGATTGCACCATTGCACTCCAGCCTGGGTAACAAGAGCGAAACTCCGCCTCAAAAAAAAAAAAAAAAAAAAAAAAAGCAAAGCTGGGAATAAGGGTGGTAGTTATAACTTATTATTATGATTATTATTTTTTGAGATGGAGTCTCACTCTGTTGCCCAGGCTGGAGTGCAGTGGTGCAATCTTGGCTCACTGCAACCTCTGCCGCCCAGGTTCAAGCAATTCTCCTGCCTCAGCCTCCCGAGTAGCTGGTGCATGCCACCATGCCTGGCTAGTTTTTTGTATTTTCTTTTTTTTTTTTAAGACGGGGTTTCACCATGTTGGTCAGGCTGGTCTTGAACTCCTGACATCAGGTGATCTGCACGCCTTGGCCTCCAAAGTGCTTGGATTACAGGTGTGAGCCACCACACCCGGCCTTGTATTTTCAGTTGAGACACGGTTTCACTGTGTTAGCCAGGATGGTCTTGATCTCCTGACCTCGTGATCCGCCTGCCTTGGCTTCCCAAAGTGCTGGGATTACAGGTGTGAGCCACTGAGCCTGGCTGTTTCTCTCAAAAAGGTCATAGCCTTGGGTGGATATGCTAGCTTAGATCTGTAATCCCAGCACTTTGGGAGACTAAGACAGGAGAACTACTTGAGGCCATGATTTCAAGACTAGCCTGGACAACATGGCAAAACCCTATTTCTACAAAAAATATCAAAAAAATTCGTCCTGTAGTCTCAGCTACCTGGGTTGTAGGAGGACCACTTGAACCCCGGAGGTCAAGACTGTAGTGAGCTGTGATCATACCACTGCCCTCCAGCCTGAATGACAGAGACTTTGTCTCAAAAAAAAAAAAAAGAAATGAAAAAAGAGAAACATCATAGCCTAATATGAGAGTTCCCTGAGTAATCTCTTTCTCTGTTTTTTCTTTCACTCTGTCACCCAGGTTGGAGTGCAGTGGCATGATGTTGGCTCACTGCAACTTCCAACTGCTCAGCTCAGGAGATCCTCCCGCCTTAGCCTCCACAGTAGCTGCAACTATAGCATGTGCCACAGTGTCCGGCTAATTTTTTTTTTTTTTTTGAGACAGAGTCTCGCTCTATCACCAGTCTGGGGTGCAGTGGCGTGATCCCGGCTCACTGCAATTTCTGTTTTCCAGTTTCAAGCAGTTCTCCTGCCTTAACCTCCCGAGTAGCTGGGACAACAGGCACGCATCACCACGCCCGGCTAATTTTTTGTACTTTTAGTAGAGACAGGGTTTCACCATGTTGGCCAGGATGGTCTCAATCTCTTGACCTCGTGATCTGCCCGCCTCAGCCTTCCAAAGTGCTGGGATTACAGGCGTGAGCCACTGCGCCCAGGAGGAATTCCCTTCTTTTTCAAGGTTGAATAGTATTCCACTGTGTATATATGCCACATTTTCTTTTCATTGACACATAATAATCTTTTTTTTTTTTTTTTTGAGACAGAGTCTCACACTGTTACCCAGGCTGAAGTGCAGTGGTGTGATCTCAGCTCATTGCAACCTCTGCCTCCCAGGTTCAAGCAATTCACTTGCCTCAGCCTCCTGAGTAGCTGGAATTACAGGAAGTAGTACTTCCTGTAATTAGCTGCCACTATGCCTGGCTAATTTTTTGTATTTTTAGTGGAGATGGGGTTTCACCATGTTGGCCAGGCTGGTCTGGAACTCTTGAACTTGTGATCCACCTGCCTCACGCCCCCCTAGGATTAAAGGTGTGAGCCACTGCGTCCAGCCCTATAATTGTACATTTTTATGGGGTACCTGTGCTGTTTTGACCTGTGCATGCAATGTACAATGATAAAACCAAGACAACTGGGATATTCACTATCTCAAACATTTATCATTTCTTTGTATTGGAAACATACCAAATCTCTTCCAGCTATTTTGAAATATACAATAAATTATTAACTATAGTAACCCTACTGTGGAACTAGAACTTATTCATTCAATCTGACTGTATTTTCTTTTTCTTTTTTTGAGATAGTCTTGCTCTGTCGTCTAGACTGGAGTGCAGTGGCATGGTCTTCGCTCACTGCAACCTCCACCTCCTGGGTTTGAGCAATTCTCCTGCCTCAGCCTCCCAAGTAGCTGGGATTACAGGCAGCTAATTTCTGTATTTTAGTAGAGATGGGGTTTCACCATGTTGGCCAGGCTGGTCTTGAACTCCTGATCTCATGATCCACCCGCTTGAGCCTTCCAAAGTGCTGGGACTACAGGTGTGAGCCACTGTGCCGGGCCCTGACCGTATTTTTGTATCCATTAACCATCCTTTTTATGTGTCCTATCCCTGTACCGTTCTCAGCCTTTAGTAACCACCATTCTACTCTCTACTTCCATGAGATCCATGTTTTTAGCTCCCACATATGAATGAGCATGTAATATTTGCCTTTCTGTGCTGACTTATTTCACTTAACATAATGTCCTCAGGGTTCATCCACGTTGCTGCAGATGACAGGATTTCATTTTCCTTTGTGGCCACTGTTCCATTGTGTATGTATACACATTTTCTTTTTTTTTTGACATTGAGTCTTACTCTGTTGCCCAGGTTGGAGTGCAGTGGTGTGATCTCAGCTCACTGGAACCTCTGCCTCTGGGCTCCAGGAATCCTCCTACCTCAGCCTTCCGAGTAGTCCCAGCTACTCGGAAGGCTGAGGTAGGATTCCTGGAGCCTCCTATCTCAGGTGCACAAGGCAGGTGCACACCATCATGCCCAGCTAATTTTTGTATTTTGAGCCATCGCACCCAGCCTATACATACATTTTCTTTTTGTTTTGTGATGAAGTCTCACGCTGTTGCCCACACTGGAGTGCAATGGCACGATCCTGGCTCACTGTAACCTCTGATTCCGGGGTTCAAATGATTGTCCTGCCTTAGCTTTCTGAGTAGCTGGGACTACAAGCACCTGCCACCACACCCAGCTAATTTTTGTATTTTCGGTAGAGACGGAGTTTCACTATGTTGGCCAGGCTGGTCTTGAACTCCTGACCTCAGGTGATTCACCCACCTTGGCCTCTCAAAGTGCTGGGATTATAGGCATGAGCCACTGTGCCTGGCCTACATTTTCTTTATCCATTCATCTGTTGATGGAAACTTAGTCTGATTTCATATCTTGCCTATTGTGAATAGTGCTGCAACAGTGTGTGTGTGTGTGTGTGTGTGTGTGTGTGTGTGTGTGTGTGTGTAAGAGATATTGGGGGTGGGGGTTGAGGAAAATCCAGGCTGGGCTCAAATGATCCTCCCACCCTGGCCTCCCACGTAGCTGGGACTAAGGTGCTCACTACTATGTTGGGCTAATTTTTTCATTTTTGTAGAGATCAGGTCTCTCTGTTGCCCAGGCTAGTCCCTAAATATTTTCTTTTCTTTTTTTTTTTTTGAGACAGAGTTTCGCTCTTGTTACCCAGGCTGGAGTGCAATGGCACGATCTCGGCTCACCGCAACCTCCGCCTCCTGGGTTCAGGCAATTCTCCTGCCTCAGCCTCCTGAGTAGCTGGGATTACAGGCACATGCCACCGTGCCCAGCTGATTTTTTGTATTTTTAGTAGAGATGGGGTTTCACCATGTTGACCAGGATGGTCTCAATCTCTCGACCTCGTGATCCACCCGCCTTGGCCTCCCAAAGTGCTGGGATTACAGGCTTTAGCCACCGCGCCCGGCAGTCCCTAAATATTTTCAATCTGCAGTTGGTTGAACTCACAGATGCAAACTCGCATATACAGATAGCTGATTGTAATCCAAGAGTATGAAAGAAACATGTAGGAAGGCAAATCAAGAAAGAATGCAGGCCGGTACAGTGGTTCACGCCTGTAATCCCAGCACTTTGGGAGGCCGAGGCAGGGAGATCACTTGAGGTCAGGAGTTTGAGACCAGCTTAGCCAACACAGTGAAACCCCATCTCTACTAAAAATACAAAAATTAGCTCGGCATGGTGGTGCGTGCCTGTAATCCCAGCTACTCAGTAAGCTGAAGGAAAAGAAGCCCTTGAACCTAAGAGGCAGAGGTTGCAGTGAGCCAAGATTGTTCCATTGCACTCCAGCCTGGGCAATAGAAGGGGGTAAAAAAAAGAAAGAATGTAAAACTGGGGGCACAGAGGAGGGAAGAGTTTACTGTACCTGGTGTCTGGAAGCTGCAATGGGAAGGGCCAGGGTCTTGGGGTGGAGTCAACATGAAGGTCTGGGTAGGTTCATCCTCCATACTCTGGACTGCTGTAAAAGAAAAGATGGCCTAAGGACATCTCCTCCATAGTATTGCATGGTCTCCTACGCTACCCACACTAGCCTTCACCTTTTTTCTTTTTCTCTCTCTTTTTTTTTTTTTTTAAATAGAGACAGGGTTTCACCATGTTGGTCAGGATGGTCTCGATCTCTTGACCTTGTGATCCACCCGCCTCAGCCTCCCAAAGTGCTGGGATTACAGGCATGAGCCACTGTGCCCGGCCAAGCCTTCAGCTTTCAAGGGCTATCAGTCTAATCTCCCAGCTCCCACTGGTACTAGGATTCAAACAAATAACACCAAAGTTCTCACCTTCTAGGTTCTGATTCTCTCTCTCCAGAAAGCATTGGGTAGCTTGTAGGTCCAGATCTTCAGAATCTGGTGGGGAGGAATATAAGATAGATAATTTAAAAAAAAAATCATACCTGACACTAACTCCTTAATTAATCTCTACCATTCTCTCCTCAACCCCAGCTTTTAGAACTCTGGTTTATTTCAGAGGTCAAGGAAGGAGGGGCAGCACTCAGCATCACAGTTGTCTTCAGAGTCCTTGGTTCCACCCACATGTGGTTCTCTCCCTTCCTGTGGGGACCTGGGCTCCCTTTCCCTGTTGTTGGGTGGATTCCCCTGGAGTGTCTATATGCACCACCAGATCTGTGAAGTACTCTCTTGAGATAGGCAGGTCCTGCTCCATCTGTGCCACAGGTGATTCACCTTGGGCCCCCACCTCAAGAGCTCTCTCCTGCCTAAGAACAGCTGTAGCCCACTCTGCCCCAGCATCCCCTTCTGCTGGAAGCTGGCTCTTTCTTACATCTGCAACTGCTGAGGCTGCCAAGGAGGTGTCCTCCTCTGCATCTGTTTCACAGTCCCCATGTGGAGGAGGCCAGGCTTCCTCTAGAGATACCACAAGCAGCTTTTCTGGTCCCCCACCTGCTTCCACATCTGTTTGATTTGTCCCCTGCATAGACACCATGGCTGACTCCTCCACTTGTGTGTTGATGTCCACTGTGGTGGAGGCTTGGCTTCTCTCCAGGTGGATCCCAGGTGAACTCTTATCTGCTTCCACACTCTTAACACTGTCCCTAAATGAAGGCTCGTTTTTTCCTGAATGTGCTCTAACAAGGGCTCTAATCTTTGTGTGACCCTCGGGGAGAGCTTCTCTATTTTCCACTGGGAGCTCTTCCTCCTCCACATCTGTGTCACTGTCTCGCCCAGTGGTGGTTTGGCTTCTCTGGAGAAGGACCACAGGTTGGGCCATGTCCTCTTCTGCATCTCTGTTCCATAGAGCAGGTTGACTCTCTTTCAGACGTGCTAAAGTCAGCGCTGCTGAGACTTCTTCCTCATCATCTGTATCACTATTGATCACCATGGAAGCTTGGCTTTTCTCAAGAGGGGCAGCCTGTGGGGCCTTGCCCTCCTCCGTATCTGTATCACTACCAGCCTGACTCTCCTGCAGATGGGCCAGCCCTGGTCCTCCAGGACCCCTTATACCAACTCCATGGAAGATCTTCCTCTTCTTCATAGGAACTACAGTTAGGGTTGCTGGGATCCCCTGTTCTTCTACATCAGTGTCACTGTCAATGAAGCCAAGAGGCTGAACCCTTTCTAAACGGACCTCAGCTGGCCTTCCAGGAGGCCTGCTGTCATCATCCACATCTGTGTCACTGTCCTCTGCAGGAGATTGGCTCTTCTCCAGCATCACCCCAGCTGGAACAATCCCATTCCCTGCACCCCTCTTGACTTCTGTGTCATCATCCCTCTCCTTCACTGAAGGCTGCTTCTTTTCAAGCTGGATTTCAGTTGTGACTTCAGCTTCAGACTGCTCTGGCTCTATAGCAGCACCTCTTCTGGCAGCTGAGGAGGCCTCCTCTGTGGCTAGTTGCTGATTTTCTGGATCTGTGTCACTGCTCAAATTGAAGGCAAAAGGCAGCCCAGGGCCACCCAGGACAGGGGAATTCCCCTCTTCATCACTGTGAAGGGAAGAAAAGAGAGTCTGTTGAGTTTATTTCCCTGGAAGGGATACCCCAACTCAACTGTAAGCTCCTTGAGGGCAGACATAAGGTAGTATTTCTCCTTGTGTTTCCAGCAATTTGTTTTCCACTTGGCACATCAGAGGTGCTCCATAAAAATTCACCTGAGTGGGGCTGGGCACGGTGGCTCACGCCTATAATCCCAGCACTTTGGGAGGCCGAGGTGGGTGGATCACGAGGTCAAGAGATTGAGACCATCCTGGTCAACATGGTGAAACCCCGTCTATACTAAAAATACAAAAATTAGCTGGGCATGGTGGCGCATGCCTGTAGTCCCAGCTACTTGGGAGGCTGAGGCAGGAGAACTGCTTACACCAGGAGGCGGAGGTTGTGGTGAGCAGAGATCGCACCATTGCACTCCAAACTATGTAACAAGAGTAAAACTCCATCTCAGAAAACAAAAAAAATCAGCTGAGTGAATGAATATATATGGTTTCCCAGCCCCAACTCCATGATAACAATCTCTCTTAGAGACTGATCCTCCAGGCCCTGGTTGTTTGTTTTGAAGACTCAGGTATCTGATTCTTTGGCACTCACCTGTCTGGAACTATCATTCCCATGGAGGAAGATGTCGTCCTTGATTTTTTTACCACACACCTTTCAGAAAGAGAATCTGTCAAGAACAAAAAGGAGCAAGTTGACAACTGTACACTCATTATCCCTGCCTCCTCATTCACCCTGCCAATACACAAACTTACCTACTTCCTCCTCTGAGTCCTCAGCCAACAGAAGCCTCTGGGGTTGAGTTCCTCCCTGTACCCTGGGTGTCTCTTCTACAGTCAGAGGGCCCCGGGAGACAAAGGGCAGGGGGACATCCACGCGACGGTACTGGCAGGGCAAGTCAGCAAAGAGAATCAATTCCTGGTCCCTCAGACGGTGACTCACCCCAGGAATCAAAACCTTAGGAGGCCTCAGGATTTGAGTACCATTAAGGCTCCCAGAGTCTCGGAGGATAGGTGCCTTGTCCCAGGCTGAGATTTCAATCTCTGCATGTTGTTTGGAGATAGATGGAAAGGGCAGGGCCACAGAGCAGCCAGGCATTCGGCCTATCACATTCTTCCCAAGGTATAGTGGGAAATCTAAGAATTAAAGAGGTAGGTAAGTTCCAAGATCAGAGTCCTCTATTAGGTACCCTACTATTCACTCAAGATCTCCACATGCGTCAGAAAAATAAAAGGCCCTAGGACATCTAGGCACTGAAAGAGCAATACCCCATCCATGCACACTGGATTGGTTTTTTTTAATGTTATAAAATACACATGAACACAAAATTTATCTTAATAGTTTTAAGTGTACAGTTCAGTGGCATTACGTGCATTCACACTGTTGTGCAATCATTACCATCCATCTCCAGAGAACACAATTGGATTTTATTTGAATCTTTTTTCTGAGACAGTGTCTCATTCTGTCACCCAGGCTAGAGTACAGTGGCATGATCATAGATCAGTGTAATCTTGAATTCCTGGGTTCAAAAGATCATCCTGCCTCAGCCTCCCAAGTAGGTGGGACTGCAGATGCAAACCATCACACCTGGCTAACATACATATATATATATTTAAAGACGGGGTTCCGGTTCCGGCCGGGCGCGGTGGCTCACGCCTGTAATCCCAGCACTTTGGGAGGCCGAGGCAGGTGGATCACGAGGTCAAGAGATCGAGACCATCCTGGTCAACATGGTGAAACCCCGTCTCTACTAAAAATACAAAAAATTAGCTGGACATGGTGGCACGTGCCTATAATCCCAGCTACTCAGGAGGCTGAGGCAGGAGAATTGCCTGAACCCGAGGTGGAGGATGTGGTGAGCCGAGATCGCGCCACTGCACTCCAACCTAGGTAACAAGAGCAAAACTCCGCTTCAAAAAAAAAAAAAAAAAAGACGGGGGTTCCACCATATTGGTCAGGCTGGTCTCAAACTCCTGACCTCAGGTGATCTGCCCGCCTCAGCATCCCAAAGTGCTGGGATTACAGGCATGAGCCACCGCGCCCGGCTCACATCTGGCTAATTTATAAATTTTTTGCAGAGACAGGGTATTGCTATGCTACCAAGGTTGGTCTCTACCTCCTAGTCTCAAGTGATCCTTCCACCTTGGCCTCTCAAAGCACTGGAATTACATGTGTAATTACACTGCACCAGCTTCATTTCAATCTCTTAATCTTTTCTTACCAAAGTAAAGTCATTTCCAGTGAGTCTAGAGCAGTAGCCTAGAACAATCTACTCAATTGCCCCATCTCTTCCATTCATTGAAACAAAAAAATTCATATATCTTTGAAACACATATAAGCTTCTTGCAACCCTCCAAATACCTTCCCCCCAAAATAAAAGACCTGTACCAATACTTCAGCATCTAATACCCTCTGACCTTTTTCTGGTCCATGGGCACCACTAAAGATACGTAGCCGCCCTACTGGCTCTGGGTTACACCCCAAGGATTCACAGGATTGCTCCGTCTCCTCCTCTTCTTCAATGTCCCAGTCAATAGCCTGAGTGTCCTCCATGATCTGGGAAGGATACACATTATCAACTATCCTCATCATTGGTTCACACAAACAGCATCAGAGTTATTAGACTGAAAACTGGGTAGTAAAGTGGATCATTATGAAGGTTAATGCTTCTCTTTCCACCAATCTTTCTGTTGTTAATCTTCTGAAGCACTTAAAACATTTTTTTTTTTTTTTTTTTTTTTTTTTGAGACGGAGTCTCGTTTTGTTGCCCTGGCTGGGATGCAGTGGTGAAATCTCTGGCTCACTGCAACCTCCACCTCCCGAGTTCAAGTGATTCTCTCACCTCAGCCTCCCCCGAGTAGCTGGAATTACAGGTACCTGCTACCATGCCTGGTTAATTTTTATATTTTCAGTAGAGACGGGATTTTACCATGTTGGCCAGGTTTCATCTCGAATTCCTGACCTCAAGTGACCTGCCTGCCTCGGCCTCCCAAAGTGTTGGGATTATAGGCATGAGCAACTGGGCCTGGTCCTTAAAACATATTTTGACCATGATACAGAGTAAGAAATATTGTAAGGTCTCGGGCACACAAATAGGTGCAAACATCTGCTTGTTTATAGAAACAAGTTTTGAGAAACACTGTTTAGCCTTACTATGTACAATACACTGATACTTTTCCTTCTTTTATTTTTCTGTTCTTTACTTTTTAAACGCTGATTTGTAACCTACTAAATTGATTTCACTATCCACTCCTGGGTTGCAACCCACAATTTGAAAAATGCTATTCTGCTAACACATGCAAAGCATGTATTGGGCATTGTCTTATGGTCAGGCATAGCAGACATATGAGGCAGGCACTTAGGAAATTAATGCTAAAAATATATTCAATAGTTTGCTCATGATATCCCAGCAGGTTAAGTGAACAGGAATAAATGTGCTTCTGGCTGCAAAGCTCATGCTTTTTCTTTTTGTTTTGTTTTTCTTTCTTTTTTTTGATACAGAGTCTTGCTCTGTTGCTAAGGCTGGAGTGCAGTCACTTGATCTCTGTTTACTGCAACCTCTACCTCGCGGGTTCAAGCCATTCTCCTGCCTCAGCCATCCAAGTAGTTGGGACTACAGGCATGAGCCGCCATGCCTAGTTAATTTTTTTTATTTTTATTTTTAGAAGAGTCGGGGTTTTGCCATATTAGCCAGGGTGGTCTTGAACTCTTGACCTCAGGTGAACTGCCCACCTTGGCCGCCCAAAGTGCTGGGATTACAGGCCTGAGCAACTGTGCCCCACCGTTTTTCTTTTTTAGCCCATGTTTTTTATACTTTACCAGACCACCTCAGTATGATGAGATACAATTGCAAAAAATGATAACAAAAGATAAAATATATAGAGGATTCCTATGTGTGAAGCACTATTCTAATTATTTTATATTGACTCTGACTCATTTAATCTTCACAGGAACCTCACAAAGTAGGTATTATTATCTTCCATTTCTTCAGATAAAGAAACTGCAACACAGCTGGGTTCAGACTTTCAGATCTCCTTGAAACATATATAAATAAGCATATATAAGGTTAAGACTTGCCCCAAATCACCCAAATAATGTCTCTCCTCTAATATCTTCTGATGGCTTTTCATGCCCACAGAATAAAACCTAAACTCCTGGCAAGACCTTCCATGAGCTAAACTTTACATCTTGTAATGCCTGCCCCATCATCCCTCAAAAGACACAAACTTTTTCCCCAATCTCCAAGCACACTGTTCTTGTCCCCCACATCTTCTTGTCCCTTACATCTTCATTCCTTGGCCTTTTCCCGCCTAGTTTTCTGGTCTGACTTCTACCTATCCTTTAAGATTCAGTTCACATGTCACTTTCCCTTTTTTTTTTTTTTTGAGATGGAATCTCCCTCTGTCACCCAGGCTGGAGTGCAGCGGCGCTACCTTGGCTCACTGCAACCTCCGCCTCCTGGGTTCAAGCACTTGTCCTACCTCAGCCTCCAAAGCAGCTGGGATTACAGGCACCCACCGCCATACCTGGCTAATTTTTGTATTTTTAGTAGAGACGAGGTTTCACCATGCTGGCCAGGCTTGTCTCGAACTCCTGACCTCAGGTGATCCACCCACCTCGGCCTCCCAAAGTGCTGGATTACAGGTGTGAGCCACCGTGCCCAGCCTCAAATGCCACTTTAAAATCAAAGCCTTCCCTGGCGTCTTCCCTGCTTTCTGGTGTTCCTGGTGTATCCTCACTGTTCCACAGTGCTCAATGGACTTGTGGTTACCCTAAGATCTCTCACTATATTGGAAACATTACTTTCCATTTTTGCCTTCACACCAGGCTTCAGGACTGGATTAGGGAAACTGTGTCTTTCCCCTAGGGTCCATCATACTCATTCAATGGTTATGGTGTACCTAGTGCTGTTTTAAGTATTCAGGATACATCTGTGAACCAAACATAATCAACCCTGCCCTCGGGAAGGCTGATCACCGAGCCTACTGATGGAAGGAACAAATGAGAGGAGATGGAAACAAAATAGCATAAATAGAATTCACCTGAAAAGATGCCACTCTAGAGGGAAACTGTTGACAGGGAAAGTAGGACGCCCCACGGAGAAACCGGGAGGCGGAGGTTGCAGTCAACTCCGTCCTTATGATAGGCCAACTCAGCGGGCGCCCACCACGCTTGGCTCCAATTCAATTAGCCACCATCTTTGGTCCACACCTCAGTGGGTTCCCTTGTGGCCCAAAGTCTCCCTGTGTCTTCATACCTAAACTCGGGGCGGGGCGTCAGGTAAGATAAGTGTTACAGTCCGAGAAGCGAACTTCCAAGTCACCTCCGCCCAGTCGCACCCAAAGCATACCCCTTCCGCTTTCCGGGAAAGCCAAGATGGCTCCCGGGGAGCCGTGGGCGAGGCCCCTAGAACTCACCTATTTTGAGTCCCCGCGCGCGCCACCAGTAACGGTCGCGACCCGGGTGGAGCGAGTGCGTGCGCCGAAAAAGAGCCGACTCGCTGAATGGCTCCTGCCGCTGTCTTTCACAGCCCTGCTGAAGGCTGCAGCCTACCGAGCGGAGACACACCCAGAGCCCCGCCCCCTTACGGCTCAAAGGGGAGGGGCCTCCCAGGATGCGGAAATCAGTTAAATGAGACTGTAATTGAGCGCCGCTGTGCGCCCACAGAGTAGTGCGCCTTGATTGGGCAGCTCCAAGGGACAACCCACTCCCGCTTGCCCGCCTACCACCCACTTCCCGCGCAGATTTCCAAACCGCGACCAGAGAGTCTGGCGCCAGCTGCCAGAAACGGATAGAGGGGCTGTGCCATAGACGTCTGATGCGTCTGGCACGGCCAGAGCGCCCTTCCTCGGTCCTCCCAGACATGGTGACCGCTGACTCATGAGAAATGAAAGTGGGTTGCGGGTTGCAGTCGTGGCTGGAGGCTGCAGCTTGGAGAACAACCCGTAGGCGTGGCATTTCTCTCCTTGTTGCAATGGAATTTCATTTCCTTTTGATTTGTAGAAGTCATGTCATTTCTTCCTGGGAATCCATCTCTGACGGACATTTTGAGATCACTTTCTTAAATCCAGTATCCTAAAGTAAAGATCTGTAGGCGAACAGAGAAAACTGGTTTGCTCTCTATCTTCAAGGCCGTCCTCACCTTTCGAGGGGCGAGGGAAGGATGATAAAATCACTGAGACGTTGTTTCGCTCTTGTTGCCCAGGCTGGAATGCAGTGGCGCGATCTCCGCTCACCGCAACCTCCGCCTCCCGGATTCAAGCGATTTTCCTGCCTCAGCCTCCCGAGTAGCTGGGATTACAGGCGTGCGCCACCACGCGCGGGTAATTTTAGTAGAAACGGGTTTCTCCATGTTGGTCAGGCTGGTCTCGGACTCCCAACCTCAGGTGGTCCCCCGCCTTGGCCTCCCAAAGTGCTGGGATTACAGACGTGAGCCACGGCACCCGGCCCATTTTATTATCTCGCAATAAGATATTAAGAAGATAGTAACTATAACATTTGTATAATTCATTAAGTCCTTTCGGTTCGTTATCTCAATTCTTTCCACAACAGTCAAATAAGTAGATTTCACAAAAACAAGGAGTTGAATCCCTGCAAAGTTAATGGACTTCCCTAGGTTCCTACAGAGACAAACGGAAACAGGTTATCGAATTCTGTATTTTGGGTTATTTCTACTTCCACAAAATAACTGTTATTTCCCTAAAACATAAGTTATATTTTAAGTGGGTAGAGAGGGGCTTACACAAGTTGATGTTCCCTTATTTAGAAGGCAACTTAGAAATACATTGATCTGTGTGTGATGGAATGTGAATTAACAATGACGTTGACTTGATATCACATTTCTGAGTGCTTACAACATTTTATTGACTGGATGCTTCTCACCAGACTGCAACATCCTGGAGGACAGGGAGCTAATTCTTAATCATTTTGTATCCCTTGTTCCTAATTTGGTGGATACATAGTATCTATCAAGTAAGTGAAGGTATCTCTGGGAAGAAGCAGATGGACTCTGTCTTGGGCCCATCCGATTTCCCCCCTCCATTACCTCTCCTTTTTCAATACTGGATCTCTTGCAGAGTTGCAATGGCGGCCACCTGGTCAGTGAAATCAGCGAATTGAAAACCCACTGACTTCATCAACGTGTCTAGAGAGGTAGGCTGAAAAAAACTGAAAATCTATCAGGCATCTCATTCCATAGTTCCCTATTTGAGAAGAAGACTAAGGTGTCTTCAAATTCTGCCCTAAGGTCCAGATCTCCTACGTGGATAGAGACTTCTGGCTTCAGAAATCCCCGACGTCGGTTTCCCTAAACCATTCATTTTATTCTTTGAATATACTCTCCAGACATCTCTATCTTGAAAAGCCCTTGCTGCAATTTTGTTTCTCTTTCAAAACAATGACTCGAAAATTCCCAAGGAAATAGCAAGAGGGCAATTCCCTCCTTGAAGTGTTTGAGGGAGCAGAGGCTTACTGAAGTTCATGCCTTGGGTCACCAAGTGCCAGAGGTAGCAGACTACCTCGGTGCCACACTTCTCCCAGTTTTCGCTGAGCTGAGCAATCCTGTCTTCCCCAGAGGTACTGCAGCCGGGAGCTTTCAGGGCGTGCCTACCCCACCACCCAACTTCTGGAACCCCAGACTTCTCAACTGCTGTATCCCCGAGAACCGATCACTTTTTGTACAAAAACCTCAGGCACAGAGAAAAGGAAGCTTGCGCAAGGTCGTTTTTCATTTACAAAACAAAAAACCCCACAAAACCCAAACCGGTACCCACCCATTCGTCACTTCATTTTGCAGCGTGGACAACAATAGCGGACTACAACTCCCAGAGAGGACTGCAGTCGCCCACTGGCTCGGAGGCCAATGGACGCCCGGCACACTACCGACATCGACTAATCAGGGCCGGGCTCGAGGAGGCTTTGTCTCCCGGCCGCGCGCGGGGCCGATTCTCCCGCCTCCCAGCCCCGCGCACGCGCGCCCCGCCCAGCCTGCCTTCCCTCCGCGCCCTCCCCTCTCCTTTCTCCCTCTCAGAACCTTCCTGCCGCCGCGTTCGCACCTCGCTGCTCCAGCCTCTGGGGCGCATTCCAGCCTTCCAGCCTGCGAACAGCAGAGAAAAAAAAATTACTTTTTTTTTTTTGCCCCATACATACCTTGAGGCGAGCAAAAAAATTAAATTTTAACCATGAGGGAAATCGTGCACATTCAGGCCGGTCAGTGTGGCAACCAGATCGGTGCCAAGGTAAGAATTTTACACCTCTTTTATTGCTTTTTAGAAGGAAAAATCCAGGTAAGTTATGAAAAAATGGTTGTGGGGCATTTGCACTCTTCATCCTTAATCAAGCCTTGCGCCTCCCAACCAAGTTTGTTACGTTTATACCCATAACCATTGTAGCTAGCATTCGCTTTTGGAAAGCTGGGAATCATTTTTCTTGGCAGACACATTTGGAGAAACTAGCAAAAGGGCTCTTCGGGTTTCGGGGGCGGGAAGACCGAGGATCTGTGAGATTTTTTTTACTTAGAAGCGATTCTAACGGTCCGAGAACCGGGCAGGGAGAGAGATGCGGAAATGGTCGGAGACAAAGCGGGGCGAGGTTTTGCCCATGTGCATCCCGCCCAACCCCCTTGCGGGGTTCGTAGGGCCAAACCCGAGCGGGTAGGGGCGAGGCAGTCGGGCGGCTGCGGAGAGCGCCGTGCGAGGGTGGGGGGGCGACGCGCCAGGGTGGGCTGCGCTGCGCGCTACTCTTCACAAAAGACCAGGGGCCCCAGCGCGCCCGCGACCCGGGAGAGCGGATCCTGTAGTTGTCCCTGGGTGGAAGGAGACTAAGCGGGATTAATTTTACTTGCTTTCATGGCCCCTAATAGAGACCATTTTAGGGCGTGAACGGATATAGAGAGAAAATGGGGTGTGTGACTTTCTTTTAATAAGTCCCTCAGGACTTAAGGGGAGAGAAAGAATGCATTAAAGCAAGGGGGGGAAATCTAGCAAAGGCCAAGGGGAATTTTTTTTTTTTTGCGCGCGGTTACAGTGTAGCGGGGGAGGGGCGGAGGAAGTGCGGCGGCTACGTTGTAGCAGAAGGGCGGGGCCCTGCGGGGCGGGGCCGAGGCGCGCGCGGGGACAATGCGGTCCTGCCCGCCGGCGGGGGCGCGCTACCTTGAGCCCCGCCTCTCGTGCGCGGAATTCTTGCCCCTGGCCCCGCCCACGTGCGAAGCCTTTTGTCGGCAGCTCGACCTGCGCGTGCGCCGCAGTCACGTGGAGGGCGGGGGGGCGGTGGTCGACTGCGGCAGCCGCTCTCTTCTCGGACCACCCCCCTCCCCGGCCTTTTGTGTGCGGCGCGTTTGGGCGGTGCCCCGCGCTGTGGAAGTACAGCGGCGTTTATCCTAGTGTGGTCGACCTCCTTTCGCCCACCCGAGCGCTTAGGACTCGCTGCACATATCTCACCCCAATCGGAGAAAGCTGTGACTTTCCCGGGGGAGCGAGTGTCTAGGGGAAGGGTGTGGCAGGCACACGGGATGCCAGGCCCTAGAACAACAGCCTGAGGGCGTGTGGAATTAAAATAGGAGGTGTGGGGCCGAGGCGGTCGGATCCTGGGCAACAAAGCGAGGACCCCCCCCACCCCGTCTCTACAAAAAAAAAAAAAAATTCGCTGTGCGTGGTGGCGGGCGTCTGGGGTCCTAGCTACTGGAGAGGCTGAGGTGGGAGGATCGGTTGAGCTTGGCAGCTCCAGGCAGTATTGGAGCTGTGACTGCGCCACTGCACTGCAGGCTGAGCAACAGAAAGACCCTGCCTTAAAAATTATAGAAAGAGGCCGGGTGCGGTGTCTCACGCCTGTAATCTCAACACTTTGAGAGTCCAAGGCGGGCGGATCACGAGGTCAAGAGATCGAGACCATCCTGGCTAACGTGGTGAAACCCCCTCTCTACTAAAAATACAACAATTAGCTGGGCGTGGTGGCCTGTGCCTGTAGTCTCAGCTACTTGGGAGGCTTGAGGCAGCAGAATCGCTTGAACGCAGGAGGCAGAGGTTGCAGTGAGCCAAGATCTTGCTACTGCTCTTTAGCCTGTGTGACAGAGCAATACTGCGTCTCAAAAAAATAATAAAAGATGAAATAAAATGGTACTTGCGACATATTTGGCTGGGACTTGAGCTGTTGTACTTTTTCCTCTCGCCCGGCAGTTCTGGGAGGTGATCAGTGATGAACATGGCATCGACCCCACTGGCACCTACCACGGGGACAGCGACCTGCAGCTGGACCGCATCTCCGTGTACTACAATGAAGCCACAGGTGAGGGCAGGAGCCCGGGCAGCTCGAGTTCCCTTCCCTGTCTCCCACTTCTCTGGAGTCTCTTTTCATTCTTGGGCACACCTTACCCTTTGGGTGAAATCTGTCATCCTTTCCCTTGGGTGAGCCACCATCTGGGCCAGACGTCTGCTGCCACCTGGTGGCAGGACCTGGAATGACAGGTCTGGGGTCCCTGCTGTCTCCCAGCCTCGTCATATTTATAAACCTTCTCTGCCAGATCTCACAGCTTTTACTTTATTTTCTATAGGTGGCAAATATGTTCCTCGTGC